TGTTTATCTGCATTTAGACTTTGATTTGGATAAATTAAGCTCTCAAGTGTTCCTTGCTTTATGAAACTCTGCATGTTGTACACTTCAACACAAATAAATGACTTGTACCATTAGAGGTTTAAATAATGCAATGTATTTCATGCTCAGCCTGAAGCTGGATTCCAATGAAGTTGCTAATGCACGTAATGATTAAGTGTAACTCAAATACTAACTGTGTTGTTGAAAACATGACAGGCAATAATTTGGTCTATTATATTCTGCCATTTAATTGCCTAGTACAGACATTCTCTGACACGTTATGAAGCAATGATTTACAATTATTCAAGCTGCAAAGGTCAGAAAGTGACATTATAATCATCTACATAGAGATCCCTTCTAATGCACAAAAACTAGGTAATGCCACACACACCAAAAAAAAGAGTTTTACTGCATTAGTAACTTTCTATTTAAGGTTTCTTAAACCAACTAAGAATAAACAGTTCATAAGAACATTAATACACAATAGAAAATGTCTAGAATCTTTCCATGAACCCAGAGGTGACAGATTGAGAAAATGCCTTTATTCTCTCTTCATTAGGTAAGTTCCACTCAACTACTTAACTCTATGCACAAGATTCAAGACGACATATAGGAAAATCAATCAGAAAATAACATAATCCCTAAATCACGCATACTGGAGTCTTTGTGAACAATGGCACACAAAAGTTAGGTATCATTTCCTAGGTTTACTGAAATCAGAGGCTACTTACTAGTTTTCTATTCTTTTATTTTTTAGTAACTAGTAATGAAAAACAAAAACAATAACCCAAATTGATCAATTTTACGCTTCTTATCCTAATGGAAAGACAGTAAAATCCTCACTTTTTTAGGCACTTACCTCTCTCTATTATACTAACAAGTTCAATTTGTAACCACTTAAGTGCAATAAATTATCAACACATAAAGAACAATGGGGAAAAATAATAAAATTATTTTTAACACTTTAATATGAGAAAAGTGAAATGGAGGAAGAAATAGAAAAAAAAAAAAAAAAAAAAGACCGAATACCAGAATATTAATGCAAAACACTGCGCAAGAAATTTTTTTTCAAAGAATGTAAATCTGAAGAAAAGCAGAAAACAAAAGTGGCTGAGGGCTGGAAGGAGATAAGTTACAGTTATCACATGCTAGTGGAAAGAACCTAAAGAGAAACAAATAAGTACAAAGGACAGTCAGTAACCCAAACAATAGATATTGCAAAAGCAGAGAAATAAAGAAAAGAGACAGTTAAAAGGCAGGGAAGAGTAGACTACCATTACCAGTGCATAATTTAAGTCCATCTCTAAACCCCCCTTTTACTCTCAAGTTCACCATCTGTACAATGGGGATAAGAAACATGAGATAAACAATCCTATGAAACCACAGAGATCAACAAATGAAATGAATGTTAAGTAAGGTGTACACTAAACCAGAGCACTGCATAAATACTATTTATTAGAGAGTACTATACACACTATTGTGTGGGGAGGGGTGTATATATATATACACAGAGAGAGTATTAAAATAAAATTAAATGAATTTAACAAAACATGGTATCTATAATGACTTTCTCAAGCCACTGAGATTGTCAAGTTTTTAACTACTGAAAAAAACAAAAGTAGAGCTCACTGATTTAGTAAAAATACGTTTAGCCTATTTTTAAATATATGTTCCCAACAAAATTATTAACTTCTGTATAGGGATGCTTGCTTTATTTCTTATTTTCTCCCCCACTAAACCCTATGTCATACCCACAGCACATTTTCATGTTAACCATCCATCAAGTGCTAAATATAAATCCACCCACTCATATATTCTATAAAATTCCTCTTGACATCACACTCAGATGTAAGAAACTGTACTATTCAAAAATTGCTCCTCCTAAAAGTGAAAGTAAAATAAAAGGCTTTTAATGAAGTTATCTATAACATGTTCTTAAATGGGAAGTGCAAAGCACTACATTTTTGAAATTTTTACTATGACATGAGCATGTAAATCATGGGTAAACAAAACTTAAATCCTGAATTCTGAATCCTAGCTACCTAATAAGAATTAGACATCCAGTACATTCAGCTTCTTTGTCAACTGAAATCCACGATACACTGTGGTAAGATTTGCCAATGAGGGGGGAAAAAAGATACCTTAAAATTGAGCTTAAAGATTTAAAGAAAATCACCACAGGTCTAAACTCTTAAACAAAAGTGTAAAAGGCAGTTTATGGTAAGGGAGTAGCTAGTGCACAGCCCCTAACCTAAGCCTTAGTAAAAATATAAGACACATACTTGATGGCATTTACAATCGTCTTATATGCAGATATGAAAAGTCAAACAATCACAAATAATCAGAAACATTAAAATTGAGCTCAATTCAACAGAATGCACTGTCTGCTGTTTTCATCAATTTCACCATAAAATATTAGTTTTTTTCAAGAAAACCAAGAGCTAACTAAGAAAAAATGGTACAACATTGTCAGTAATAATTTCATTTTTAAAATGTGCCTGCCTCACTATTTTTATATATTATCACTCAATCACAACTATTTGAAAAACAGTTTTATGTCTTATGACTCAAATAATGAAGAGGTCATTATTAAAATTCTAAAAGACAGAGACTGGGAAACTAACTATTGCAGAAAGGAAAACATCGTGCAGGACCTTCTGTTTGTGACAAAATTATAGAGTTAATGTTCCTGAAAGATCACTTCACCTCTTAAAGCATGATTTTTTAAAAGGTAAAATTTATTGCAATTAAAGCTAATGAAGAAATGCAGCATGAGCTGCTTATGTTCAGGAACTAATAGGTCCACTGAGCATTTCCAAGATTATTTAGCCATCAATGATAATGAATTGACATTGTCAGTGATGTTAATGTACCAATGTTCTCTACTGCTACTAATCGGATAGCCAAATTCTTCCTTTTTTTCTTTGTTTTTCACTTTAATTTACCTACAGACTGCCCAACCCCTTTGAAACACTGAAATACAGAACAATCTATGATACTTTTTCTTTAACACTAAAGGGTATGTAACTCATTATTGTTTCAACTACATAGAGCAATAGGCATTCTTCAGTTTACTGCAATTCTTCAGAACTTTTAGCTTCACTGTGAAAATATCTATCTTGTAAAAATTACTGTTATGTAACTTTTAAATCAAATTTCACTTTAAAAAATTAACAGAACTATTATCTCATAGTCAAATAAAATTCAATGACTGCCATAAGTTCTAAGACATACAATTTTGGACTCTAGATTGCTTTTCCTACACACACATACATGTAAGACCTCTATGATAGCAGCATAAAACTCAATGTATCCATATGTATTTATAATTCTCTATCTTGGGAATCAAATGTATAAACCTCCAATGCAACAATTCAGTTGTATGTGGTAAGCAATGAGCTAAGCAAAGTGTGCACTGTTCAAATTACACACTCAAAGCCCATCAATCATGTATTGTTTTTGATGCTACATATGTCAGAACTGTTCTCTGAAAAAGTTTCTTCTCTTTCCAGGGTCTTAGTAATCCTAAGAAAAAAATGAATGGAATTAGATTTCAAATAGAATATGCAAAAATTGTTTACTTATTTTGCAGAAATGAGGAAGAAACTGCTTATTGCCATGTAATAGCAAATTTTCACTGGAGTCAGGGCTTTCCTCCTTCCCATAGCTCATATGATAAAAACAATAAATGAGATATCTTTTAAAATTCCAAGACCCAGAGAAATTAAAATGAACCATTTGGCACTCGACCCTTGCAGCTAAAATCAGGAACAACAGAACTCATTCTCCCACTGATCTTCAGGGGCTCCAGGACAAAGGTTTGTCTTCATTTACTTTAGTTGCAAGTCACTGACCCATCAATTCTGCCAATGAATACATCACAGACCATGGTTAATAAAAGTGCTCACAAAGTTATCTGTAAAACTATCTTAAGGGTCAAAAACTACAACTGTATCCTGGGATGAAATGTACTGTCCAACAAAAAACAGAAGTTTTTTTGGACTTAAAAGATATTTACACAGTAGTGCCAAGCAGAAGAATCTTGGGCTAAAAAAATAAACCTAACATAACATATACACATTGCGTAATTTCATTGAACCTGTAGTATTTTGTGAATTAGCCATAAGAATTGCAAGTTTCTCAGGTTTCACATAAAGTGTTTTTACATGATATGCACTTATTAGTTAATTTCTCCAGCATTATAATATTAAAATATATTTTTAATCAAAAGTAGGGTATTAAAATCCAGCTCTGAATGTCCTATGATATACCACAGATGTCATGGCATTTTAAAACCTTTTAAACACTTCTGCTAAATTAATTAGTTTTGCATTAAGGCATCTCAGTGCTTCCTATTAAATGCAACACATTTGAGTGACAATTAAACATTGTGAATAATTCTTTAGAGGAAAGAGCCATTAACCAAAAAAGGAAAACAAGTTTTGAAATAAAGTTACACAAAAACACACATTATGCACACACTGTTTCTTTAAGCTTCATCCTTACAAAAATCAGTAAGCCACTGTCTGAAATTAAATCTTTTTTTTTGCTTTTTTCCTTATAGAATATGCCAATGGATCCAAAGAGCCATTAATGTGATTAAAATTAAAGCTGTATAGCAAAAGAAAAAAAAACATGCATATACACTCCCAAAGCTATATTATGTATTTTTTTATGTCTTTAAATGGAATTTACAGTTCTCTCTGGCAATGTGAATGAACATCCTATAATTTAGTCAATTTACAGATTACAGGTTCAAATTGACCTTGTAGCCCATAAAATTGCTCATCTTCAGTACAGGATTAGAAGTGGGAGAAGAATGTCATAACTGTATTTAAGGAATTTACCATAACAATGGAAAGGAGGATACGCATGCATAATTTTAGCCACTCTTACTCATATCAGTTTTGAATTCTGAAACAATGGATATCCTGCACATGCTTCCTGGTTCACCACGGTAGAGATGGTTTCAATTTACTCACCCACAGACATGACACTTGTATTCCCTCATCCCAAGGTGCCTTTTGACATGGTTTCTGGCATCGCCAAGCTGAGCTGTTGCAAAATGGCATATCTTGCACTTGAATGGTTTTGATCCTAAGTAAATTTAACATAAAATATGATTTGAATTTGAATAATACATTACTGATAGTTTAAAAAGAGGCCTAGATCTTAAATCATACTTTTAATCTAATTACAAATTTCTGTCCCCAGAAGGGAATCCTTGCATTCCTTGGTAACCTGAATGGACCTGCATTCCATACTTACTCCACCAAGAGGACGTTAATGTTTCAGTGAGTGTTCCTAACTGTCAATAACATTTCTGAGATTTAAAACCAAAAGTGATACAGTTGAGCAGCACTAAGTAGATGAGATGAGCTAAAGTAACTTTAAATATTTTTCTTATAATTCACAAAAATATCTTTTAAAGTCACTTGACATTTAAAATGGAATATTTTAAAATATTTTTAAAACATGAATGCATACAGAGTAGATGATATTTTTCAAGGTATATTTATTATCAAATAAATTTCTCAGTGGCCACCTCCTTGCTTCCTCATATTTCTGCAGCTTTGAATTTATTCACATTAATAATGGTATTTCAGATTTTTTTTCTGACATTTATCCCAAATGATTCACTATGTTACTATTTTAATAACAAAGTAAAAGTATATAGTGGATAAATTATTTGCTTTTATGATCATTTTATAGTCAAAAATCTGTGATGATTCTGCAAACCAAATGTACTGACATTTTGGTTATTATTGATTTCAAGAACAAATATTTCATCATAAAAAGGACAGTAACAAAAATAAGTAAAAAAGCAAAGCAACAACTTTTTTTTATTTCATAAAGAAATAAGGTTAACCTATACTCAAAAATGAGAAAATAAAATTATTTCAGAGTCGACAAATTTGGCGTCAATAACAGACAGACTATAACTAGAACATAGTTACTAACGGACAATCAGTACCCACAGCAATGGGAAGCAACACTCTTTTAAAGTCTAACATGTATATACCATTTTCCAATTTTCTAACCACTAAATCTTCAAAAGATAAATCAAAATCATAAAAATCAGTTTAAAATCAGTACAATATGTTTCTGGATTTTCGTATCATGTTTAGTACCTATTTGGTGAAATATCTCTTCTAATACAGTTAGAAAGAATATGAAATATGTAGACTTTAATAAATATACAAAAAGAGCTCAAATTTTAAAAATTGTAATAAATTATATTTGATCAATGAAGCTTTGTGCAGTGCCCTTGAAAAAAAAATCCTCCAAGAATACTTTGTTGAAATTGAAGCACTCAGTAAAAAATTTTAGTCTTAAATTTCAATTTAATTTCCAAAAGCTGACAAAAATAGTGAAGCATTTAATTTTAATCTTCTAACAGAAATAAAAAAGTCAACAGTACTAAGCACGGGCAGACAAGGTTGAATATTTCACAGTTCAATGACAATGAAGCCAGATCTCTTAATACTTCCATTTCTACTGTTAGAAGTAGATGTAAAATATATTTAGCACCTGAATGGTTATATCTAGTCAGCTTTATATGTTTAAATGTCAAAAGCAGGTTGAGACTGCAGCTTACAGCAATCACATTCTATCAATCACATTAGAAACTACAGTTTATTTAAATGATTCTGATAAAACTAAGCCTATCACTACTTTGAAACATTTCATCTCAACACAGAATTCTATGAAAGGACTTATAAAAGAGTGAGAAGAACCAATTTCCCTGTACTTTAAATTAAAATGCATTACAGATAACAAGGTAATTAGGAAATTACTAACTAACGATAACATCAGGACCCCAAAAAGAGAAGATAAAGCTCTCTCAACATCTGCATCACAATTTTGGTAAAAGGAATTAAAAGATCTTGTGCATGTGGGATTCCAGTTTTTCTCTTGCTCACACTGCACTGACACTGTGATGAGCTCCTCCTGGTGTTGGCACATGTGCCATGAGCGGCCAGACAGACCTGTGTTTTCAGCTGACTGTGCGTGGCTCCTTGGTGCCTTCAGGTCTCAGTGATCATGATGGTGTGGTGACAACACACAAATCAGCTCTTTGGTTGGCTGCTCTCATGCAGAAATCACGGAGGCCCTGACTATTTTTCCTATCTTATATTCAGAGTAGACTGTGTTTTAACATCTCCTTTCTGTGTCATAAAAATTCAAATACAAGTGAACTAGAGATAATGCTTTTCAATACAAGAAGAAAAAGTTTTGTCTTTTTCTAACTGATAATGTTTCCATTTTTAAGCTTGCTATGCACATCCCAAAATTAATCCAGGTACAATGTTTATAAGGCAAAATTTGTAAAACCATATATTTCTAAATTTCTCTTTCTCTCAGGTATATTGTGATTATTATAAACTGTGAATATTATTTTAAATAGTTCCACTCCTTAGCACAGCATTATCCTTAGTAGATTTTTTTCTTTTAATTTGGCCTGTGAGGTTTTTTTGAAAGGGAAAAACGAAAGAGGCTCTCTAGCTTTCTGGCACCTTACAATTTTACCAAAAGAATTCCAAAGATGTTAAAAACTAAGTCTTCACTCAGACCTACACAGGCATTCCTCAACATGAGTTATTGCTCATTGCTATGCAAAATGGATGTGACATTAACATTAAAAAGATAATAAAACTTTAGGTCTTAAAGAACCAAGTAAGGCGTATATAACCCAGCATCTAACACTTCTCAATTAGAGCCTCGATTCTACAATCCTCCCTAAATATTGATCACTTCATTCATTCATCTGCTGACTCATTTATTCATTCATTCAACAAACACTGAGAGCCAACTATGTGTAGGGTGCAGAGATGAAGCAGTGAACAAAGGAGAGACCCTGTTCTCACTGTGCTTCGAGGCCACAGACTAACTCTCCTGACCATCTCTTCCCCAACTGACTCGGCTTGTAAACTGTCACGGATTAAGTAGCAAACATACCAGCCCCAACTTGAGAATTTTTTAGTGAAGTCACAGGACTCCCTAGCTCCCCACATGCGAACATTTTCAAACAGCACAAGTGATGAGTGCACCCGGAACATGAGATGAAAGGCTTCAGACAGTCTCCAGCTTAAAGACATCTGCCATGTTACATAAAATTAAAACTCTAATGGAATAATGCAGGAGAGAAAATGAACAGCTTTTTTTGTACTACTAACGTAATGAGAAAGGAGACACTGCTCTTCCCGGTCATGCTGAGGGTGGCATGCCAGCAAACGCACAGGCAAACTCCAGGATGCTTTTTTCCTACAATTACTGATAACCAAAGCTCATTTATTTCTTAGAATGCTGCTTTTATCATAGTGTTAAAGACAGGAAGAAAAGGTTACATAAAACATATAGTAAATCACAAAATATGAAAACAGGGATTGGAAGAATAAGCCCTTTTCCAGTTAACCATTAATAACAGTCCCTGCATTACTATTTCAGGGACATAAGCAAAGTATCTGAAAAGCAATTCATTCTAAGATGCCCCAAGAAAAAAACCTGGATTGGATTAAAACCTGGAAAGCAACTTCCCCCAAAAAATGACTTGCAAAATTGAAATGGTAGACCGCATTGTGTACTCAGAAATAGTACTCTGTGGTGCTTCAGAACACAATAAAAATGTACTTGCTGATAAGCCTAACATAAGATGTTAAAAAGTATGCTAACTTTTACTAAATGTTACAATCAATGATGTAACTTATATAAGTAGGGTTACTTTGTCACATATTGATAGTTACCTCACTTTCACATCCACATTAACTTGATTTTAAATGCAATTAATACATATAGTCAAGGAAGACTAATGGACTACATTCTGCACTTAACCTGGTGGACATTTTCAAATGGCACAAGTGACCAGTGCAAACCTATTTTGCATTGTAAACGACTAAATAAATCTTAATGGATTAAGAATGATCAGCTATCAACACACAAGGGAAATTAAGTGCTGAAATGCCTACATTGATTATTTTAAATTATTAGCCTTACTCTGTTCTTGAATTTGTATGCTTTTAGTGAGCTTTAACACATTTACAAGACTTATTGACTATAATTACAAGAGAATTCAAGTAATGGACACATCAATTATAAGCAACATGTCTTGACCAGACAGTTGCATAAAGAATTCTAAAAAGAGCTCCATTAGCATCTTCCTCTTAGTTTTATTCAGTTTTATCTGCCTTAAGAGGGCATATTAAGAAAGTACATATTTTCTGCGCATGTGAACAAGTCTGATTTCTAAAACCATATTATTTCAGGAAGTGACCTGCAACACAGTACTGACAGAGATATTAATAATGCCAACAAGTATGTATTTGGACTTATTCCCCAAAAATGGCTCTATTGCATGAGACGAGTTGGCACCAAGAGTACAATGTTTATATTTACCTAGATTAACCTTATGCAAGTTACTTATGCTCTGTTACTTTCTTCAATGAAAAACTTTTATCTATCTTTAATCATCCTAACTATTAATAATGTTTCACACTCTTTTGTCTTCCTCCTTGTAACCATGCACTAAGTTTCAAAAACTGCATGAATTTAAAGTATAGCTTTAATAATAAGCCATTATTTAAAAGTACAGTAAAATAAACCTTACAGTTTTAATGAAAATATGTTCATTGAAATGTGAATTTATTATTCAAATCCACTCATAAATTCCACCATGGAGACAGAACTTGTCTAAGCAGAGTACAATGATTTAGAAAAGCTGTCTATTTAAAATAAAGAATGTATGGCAGGTTTATAGAAACAGTGCACTGAATTTTTACATAAATTTAGAACAGTAGCTTATGCATTTTCCACCAAAAAAAAAGTTTAAAAAAAATTTCTACCCAAAATTAAACAATAAAATGGAACACTACATGTGACACAGCACAGAAACTAAATCAGGTGCTACCTTCACAAAAAACAAATCCTCAGGACATATTAACTTTGAAAAGTGTTGACTAATTTTGATCCTTGAAAGCAGAATCTTGTTGCCTGGGAGTCACACTTTTGGATATAAACTATCTGGCAACAAATATTTTTAAATCCTTAAAATTTTAAGAAAATTTTTATTATCCCATTCCTCAAAAGCCATTTAATATGTCCTCTGAAACCCAAAGTGCCACTTAATAGATACCTTGGAGCACCAAACAATTAGGATTTAGAAACAACTGACAGCTGAAAGAGACAAGAATTTAACAAAGGCATCAGACGAACTAGGTGTTTTTGATAAAACGAAAAGAAATTTGTCAAATAACCTGCCTTTGGAATCACTAAGGTTTAAATCCCTTTAGAAATGCTAAGTGACAGCAAGGACTCATGGCAGACGTCGAGAGAGCGCCCCACTGCAGGACAATGTGAACTAGGTGGAAGGTCAACAAGCAAAGGCAGCAAGTACCCCAATGCTCAGACAGGAGCAAACGTCCGCATTTGACCATTCCTGTGCACTTTATAGGGAAATAGAAGTTTGCTGTGGTTTACATACCTGTGTGAGTGCGAATGTGTGCTAGAAATGCCATGGAATTGCTACTTCGACACATCTTCCCACAATACTTGCACACGTTTCCCTGATTCTCCTCTCTCTCGCGGTTGATTTGCTCAGTGTCCTCCACTATGTACTTATTCACCTCCCGCAGCAGTTCCTCATGCTGCCCTTTAATGTGCAGAAATAAATTCTGCTCCGAATCAAAGGGCTCTGTGCACTTGACACATTTAAAGGTGGCCCCTCCCTCTGGAAGCTCTTCCACGCTGGCCTGTTCATTTCTCATATGCCCAGCACTAGCCAAATGCTGATGAAGGTTGCTCTCCGTATAGAAGGATTTTCCACACAGTAAACAATGAAAGTGTTTCTCTTTTGTAGGATGCTTCATGGCTATGTGAACGTTCAGTCCACTCAAACCATCTGCTAAGAAGCCACAGTCATCACAACGGATTCGTGTGGATTCACCAAAGGAACTACCTTCAGATTTCTTCTTTCTCACACCTTGAGCACAGTCTTTTAAGGGCAACTCGCTAATTCTCACTCCTGTTGCTATGAGACCATCTTCAGACTGATCTATCAATTCACCATCTTCAGGGTTCTTTATTCTTATTATGGAGGAATCAAACCGGCCAAAACGATACGTGGCCTGTCCTTTATCATCAATACTGATTATAGTTTCATAAACATCATTACTTTCAACTGTGCTATCAGAAGCCGGACCATCCTCTTCCAAAATAATTTTAGTTTCATGTTGGGAATTCATCAGAATTTCCTTATTCTCCAGAACAGGATCTTCTTGCCTATCTTTCAAACCCTCTGAACTCTGCACACTTCCAACTTTGCTTTGACCACTGCTCTCCAGGTTTAGCTGTTCTCTTGTCATTCCCATCACAACAGGGATGGTGCTGTCAGCTGACTGCTCTCCACCTAGAACTCCAGCACACACATGTTTGCTAAAGACCTTATCTGCATCACCTCCTACATTTCCTCCATCGCTCTCACAATGAATATTTGGATCAACGATGTCATTCAACACACTGTGGTTTTTCTTTACTGTCTCATAATTGAAAGGTGAGCTTCCCAAATTTTCATTCTGAAATTTTCTTGGGGAGTCATAATTAGAGGAAATATTAAGGGACACTATCTCGTCAGGTTTCATAACTTTATCCTTGGCAAGGGGCTGTTGGAAAGTTTCACAAAAGGAATGATCTTCACTGAGATTAGAGTCTTCTTCAGTCTCAATTTCCACAGAGTCAGGAGCACAGAGTACTTTAGACATATCCAAATTAGTGTTCTCATCCAAAATAGAACCAGCAGTATTTCTCGATTTAAGAATTTCAGATGGTTGGTCTGAAATTATTTGAAATTCTTCAGAATTTTGTTGCTGCTGCTCTTCGGCTATAATGATGTTTTTGGACATTTCTGCAGAACTCGCTTCTACGTTAGAAGAGTTCAAGTAAGACTGTCTTTTTATCTTGTGTTTTTCTGTTGCTGCATGCCTAGTCATCTCCCGACGAGTCACAGCATAGTAATCACATGCCATGCAATAAAATGCAAACTCTTTTGTATGTTTCCGTTTTATGTGCAGTTCTAGAGAAGCAGAAGAGTGAGCATTAAACTCACAGTGTGTACATTTATTATCACTTGTGTCCATTACATCTGTCTGGGAGTGTGCATCCCCCTGTTGGACAAGGTCCTCTGGTTCTAGAGAGATTTGTTCCTTTTTATCAGTAAGGTGACTGTTAACTTCCCCATCTATGGCATGAAATACATTTTCAACTTCAACTTCAATTGAATTTCCATGCTCTACTACTGGCTTTTCTGGAATGGAGGTATCTAGGTCAGCTGACTTGTTAGCGTGTTCTTCTGAAATGGTCATCGCTGAGTTGGTGTTCTTTCTACAGGCTTCAAGGTTACTCACTTCGGGGCCAACAATGATATCTGAACTTTGTTTTCCATTTGCTTCTATTTCTACCCGCCCTTTATGTTTCTTGGTGGCACAGTGACGCTCCATATCTCCCTTAGTTACAGTATAATACTTACACACTTTGCATAAATAACTATATTGGTGACTGTGTTTTCGTCTAATGTGAACAGTCAAGTTTGTAATACTAGAGGCCAAAAGACCACAATGCGAACATGTCCTTGAGATATTACCTTTAGGTCTCCCTCTCTTTGCAGTGGTCAGAGCTAATGCATCCTCTTTGGTGATTATACCAGACTGTGACAGTTCCTTGGTAGTTAGCATGCTCTTCTCAAGACAGGAATGCTCCTGTAATTGCACACCTTCTACATGGCCTTCTACCCTACCATTTCCAGAAATGTTAAACTCTTCTTTTTTATCATTTGCACCTATACATACCCTTTCAATACATTCTTCAAAGCTTAAGCCAATATTATTTTTCTTAGCATTTTCAAGATGCTTGCTTCTCTTAATGTGTTTCTCCATTCCTTCTTTGCTCAATGAATAAAGGTTACATGCCTTACAAAGAAAGTGATAGTCTTGACCATGCCGGAGCTTTATGTGTCTTGTAAGAACGGTGGAAGACCTTGTTTTATAAAAACACTTCTTACATTGAAACTGAGGCTTACTTGAATGCCTTACTTCATTTCCATGGCTTACCCTGGGCTTAGCAGGTTCTTCCTGAGCTGCTTTTCCCGACTCACTCATAGAATCTTTTGTGTTTTCCGATTCTAAAGTACTTAAAGGTAAAGTCTGTAAAACCAAATCATTGTTAAATGATTGAGAAGTCTTTGGTTGAACCAATAAGCGAACATGCTTCTCAGTTGTTTTGTGTTCTTCCATGTCTTTCTCAGACAAGAAGAACAGATTACAAGGAGTACAAAGAAAACCCATACTGTGCTTTTCCTTCATATGGTCTCTAAGATTTATTTCATTCAAGGAAATAAACGAACAACACTGACAACTGAGGGCAGAAGCAGTTTGCTGATGCTGGTTATTGTGCAAATGTTCATCTAAGTCCCTCCTCGATATACTGGAGAAGTCACATGTCTGGCAGTAAAATTTCATCTCTCTTGCGTGGCACCTTTTCACATGGATTTCCAACTCTGCTCTATTTGTAGCTATCTGACCACAGTCTGCACAAGTACACAACATCTGATGGTCAGAAGCTGGCCTGACTGTGAGAGAATCAAAGGAGCACGGGATATGAGAGGTTCTTTTGTCCTGCTTCGGGTCCTGGGTTTCCAAGGAAGTCACGCACAGAGTGTGGATACTGCCACTCGTTTCTACATGTTTAGATGTTGACTCTGCATCACTTGCTTTCATCTGTGTTCTGAAGTGTTTCATATACATCCTCTGAGTTTCATTAGTCCCTCTTTTATTAATTCCTAAAAGATTAAATCTTTTCTTTGCCTGGCCTTTTAAGGTGAAAGTGCCACTTCGTCTCCGGAAGCTATGACCCAACATGAGAACACTGCGCTCAGGTCTCGGTCTCAAGGCTGTGCTGACACCATGTGCTGACTGTAACGTATTTTTGGTAGATTCCAATGTATCTAAGAGACCCTCCGAGGTTACTAAAGCTCCTAACTTTTTACTCTGGTTTTCAGGATTTTGAACCATTCCAGGGGCAGTTATGTTTTCTTCAACAATCTCTCCTTTTTCCGACGAAGTATTCCTGGAAGGCGTCATTTCCACAAGGAGCTCACTGCTACTTCCACTCTGTTTAGAAATGCTTCCTCTGAAATCTTGAGATTTGCTTCCAACATTTCGTAATCCTTTTGAATCACTATTCTTTGCCATTGGTTTAGAACCTCTTGGTTTTGCATGAATATTTTTTGTTCCCATAGTACATGGTTTCTTAGGAAAAGGCTGTTTTGTTAAGATCTGTACAAATCCTCCACGAGCAGCAAGATTCTGACGCCGGAGATGTGTTTTGCCAAGATAATGTGCATTCAACAGGTTTTCTTCCACACACTGAAAACCACAAAGATCACAAGAAAAGACTTTCTGTGGCCCATGTGTCTGTCTGACATGCATATGAAGAGCTGCACTGCTCTCCGCTTTGTGGCTACAGTGGCAGCAGGCATGTTCCTTAGACTGTTGCAAGTGACATTCGGCATGCTTTTCCAAATCAGAGCAAGAAGAAAACAAATGACCACACTCATTGCACTTGAAAACTGTCTCTCCATTTCCAATGGTACAACTAACACTAATCTCTTTCAGGGGAAAAGGAGGTTCTCTTTCTGGATGGAGGGAAACCATCTCCTGAGCAGACTTTTTTTCAGTGTCCGTTTTCAGAGAAACAGAGTCAACAGTGCTTAAACTGCCCAGAGGAGAGAAGGCATTGGGAAGACATGTGCTTCCATCCAAGCAGTCACTCAGGAGGGACTCTTTCACCGCCTCCTCTAAAGGGATGTCCACTTCTGAGACTGTGCTCTCAGACGTTTCTGATCCACGAACGCCCTGCTCCGCGGATTTAAGGGGCTCTGCCTCGGCTAATTTCATTCGTTTGGAAGCATGTTTATTTTCGTCTTCCTCCACAACGACACTGTCAAAGTTTGATGATTCTGAAAGACCTCTTTTGCTTGTGGAATTCTCGGAGGATTCCAAATCGGATATAGGCCCACCATCTACATCAGGGGATGAAATATTTTCCAAGTCTTTTGCTTCTTTTTTTACTTTCTCATCCTCATCATTCTCCGGTTTCTTCTCAGTATCCATCATTAATAAAGTGCTAATGACCTTTCTTGTGTCATAGGGGGCTCACTTGGCATTCATAACCTGTGAAGAAAATAACCATGGTATTAAACCTCTGAACGTAAATGACACATATTAGTCCAAAAGTCAACATAAAGTAACACATTGGATGAAAAAATATCATAAAATTAGCCTCAAGATTTCCTTTATATTGAGATGAATGTGATCACATGTATGAAGTTCTGTATGAGAGCATGAAATCAGATTGTGGAAACATCACATCATACGCACACTGCTGACTCAGGAAGCAACACTATGAGATCTTTGATAGAAAAACTGATTCTCAACCAGCATGCAAAAAACTCCCATGTTTCAATTCTCTTTACCAGTACACTTCAATTTACTACTTTGGGAAAAAAAAAAAAAACACGGAGAAAGCTTCTTTTCAAATAACGTTCAATGAACTCACACTCTGTAAAATACATTAAACAAAACTCCTGTGACACAAATCAGGAAGTCAGGCCTTCCCCTCCCAACAGAAGCCCAAGTCCCAGTATAAAAGAAATGCAGTTTAAAACCAACTGCTTCATCCTTTTCCCCTAGAGCAAAGAGCCTTACCATTACTTTTCTAAATATTCCTAGTTAACCACTGCATATTCTCAACACATAACACCATTCATGCACAAGCTCTTTTGCCAATGAAAAGCCACTCCTACTCCAGTTGTCCATCACCAATTTCTTCACCTAACAGTCATTTTGTGTCGTCTGAAGGTTAACGGCAAAGGGAAATGTCAGGGGTAGAGTAGAATTAATGAAGTAAATTTTGGACGGGGAAAGGAACTTTATTGAAAAAAGGTTTAAAATCAATAATATTGATTTTATTTTTCATTATGCTATTTAATTCAATTAAAACATATCATTTTCCATTTACTTTATACCATGATTGGAATTTTCAGCCAAATGCCATTTGATTTGATGTTACTAAAAAGCTATCATGTACTATGGCCTCAAAGTTAATGATAACTTTTTAACTCTTTTTTCCATAACGATGACAAACCACATGAAGGCTGTTGCTCTGACCCTGCTAAAACCAGGGAACAAAAAATATATGTAAGCTATGATACCAAAAGCATGAGCAACAAAAGGAAAAGTAGATAAACCAGACTTTGTCAAAATTAAGAACTTCAAATGACATTATGTTTCAAAGGCCACTATCAAGAAAATGAAAAAAACAACTCACAGAATGGGAAAAACTTTTTGCAAATCATCTATCTCATACAAGACTGATACAGAATATAAATGACTCTTAGAACTCAATAATAAAAAGACAAATCAATTTTAAAAATGAACAAAGGAACTGAATACATATTTCTCCAAAGGAGATACGCAAATAGCCAAAAAGCACATGAAAACGTAATCTACATCAGTAGTCATTAGAGAAATGCAAATCAAAATCATAATGCAATACCACTTCACATCCACTAGGATGGCTAGAATCTAAAAATCAGATGACAACAAGTGTTGATGAGGATGCGGAGAAACCAGAACCCTCATACAAAGCAGTGGGGATGTAAAACGGTGACGCCACTTTGGAAAACAGTCTGGTGGTTCCTCAGATGATTTAAACATTGAGTTACTACCTAGCCCACAATTCCACTCCTAGGAATATGCCCAGGAGAAATGAAAATGGATGTCTACACGAAAACTTGTACATGTATGTTTATAGAGCAGTATTATTCATAATAGCCAGGAGGTGGAAACAACCCAAATATTCATCAACGGATTAATGGATAGACAAAATGAGACACATCCATACAATGGAATATTATTCCGCCACACAAAGGAACGAAGTACTAATACATGCCACAATATGGATGAACCTTGAAAACACCATGCTAAGTGAAAGAAGCCAGTTACAAAAGACCACATACTATATGGTTTCTTTTATAGGAAATGTCCAGAATAGGCAAATCTATGGAGACAGAAAGTTGTCAGTGGTTTCTTAGGAATGGCAGGGGGTGGGGGAGGGGACAGGAGACAGGGGAATGATAGCTAAAGGGTACAGAGTTTCTTTTCAAGGTGACAAAAATGATCCAAAATTTTCTGTGGTGACGGTTGTACATGTCTATGAATATACTTAAATCCATTAAATCACAGTTTAAATGAGTGAATTGTATGGTATGTGAATATCTCCATAAAGCTGCTTAAAAATACAGAATTGTCATATATAAGCTACAATACAAAAACATCTTGTATTTATAATTGCACTGTAATACAATAATATATTGTATCACTCTTGTAAAAGAGGGAAAAAAATGTGTTTCACTCCATTGCTGAGTGGTGTTCCACTGCATGGATATGCCACATTTCTGCTGATGGACATCTGAGCTGTTTCCCGTTTTTTGGCTACTATGATAAAGCTGCTATGAATATTATTGTACTAGTCTTTTTATGAACGTACACAGTTTTATCATACTCATAAAATGTTCACCATTTCTTCAGAATGTGTTCCAGAAAATACAATTATCTAAGAGGTTAACAGGTGTTTTGAGAGGAAAAAAATATCCTGGTCAAATAAGTTTAGAAAACTCTGGTTTGAACAAGTTTCTTTACCACAGGATTTCTCAGTACATAAGCATTTCCCAAACTAACTTCATTATAGAACCTTTTGTTTATAAAGAATCCAAAGGACCCTTTAGAAAATGCTCTTTTAGATAAAGCATTGGTTTTGCTATTCGACATTCGCAATGGAAGAGTAAAAGGAGGAGAGAAAGTAAGAAAGAATGGATCATGCATCTGTTCCAAAAACTTCACTTAGTGCCTACTATAAGCCAAGTATTCTTGGCTGTACATTCTGGAATTACAGCAAAAAATACAAAATCTCCACCTTACATTGTAAGAGGTGAGACAACGTATTTATTTATTTATTTATTAATTTTGAGGAAGATTAGCCCTGAGCTAACTACTGCCAATTTTCCTCTTTTTCTGAGGAAGCCTGGCCCTGAGCTAACATCCATGCCCATCTTCCTCTATTTTTTATATGTGGGACGCCTACCACAGCATGGCCTTTGCCAAGCGGTGCCATGTCCGCATCCGGGAGCCGAACCGGCAAACCCTGGGCTGCCTGGAAGCGGAACGTGCAAACTTAACCACTGCACCACTGGGCTGGCCCCAAGACAACGTATTTTTTAAAATAGATATCTTGTCCAATCCAGGACATCCACCTATGGTCAAGTGTCAAAGGGATTAGGTTAACTCTCATGCATCAAGCAACTAGAAAACAAAAAACAGACAAAATCTATGAAACCACGGCACAAAACATTGCACATCAGGCACCAAAGGACAATGATCCCCAAGAGATGAGACACAAACCAGGTGAGTCCCAGCCTACTGCCTGGAGATGGGACGCAGGCCACAGCACAGGAAAGGGGATCCTAGCCAGAGCCCAGGCGCCTCCCAAGAGAGTTGAGGGGCAGCCAGAGTCCAGAGGGCAGAGTAAAGGAGAGGGGAGGTGCCAGGAAGAGAAGCCCAGAGACCTGGAGAGGCTCTCTCATGAGAGTCCCTATTAGATAGAGAACACTGCATCTTCCCGGAAAATTGTCTCATGTCCCTTCACACTCAGTCCTCGGTAACTCCTCCTCCCTGAGGCACCCACTGCTCAGAATTCTTCCGCAGTAGATTAGTTTAAACTGCTCCAGTAGTTCACATAAGTGGAATCAGAAAATATGCCTTTTAGGGGAAGGAGAGTCTGGCTTCTCTCCTCAGCACAATGTTTTTGTTACACGTATCAGCAATGTGTTTCACTCCATTGCTGAGTGGTGTTCCACTGCATGGATATGCCACATTTCTGCTGATGGACATCTGAGCTGTTTCCCGTTTTTTGGCTACTATGATAAAACTGCTATGAATATTATTGTACTAGTCTTTTTATGAACATATATTTTCATTTATTGTGTGTAAATATCTAGGGGTAGTATTGCTGTGTTACAGGGTAATGTTTCTGCTTAACTTTATGAGAAACTGCCTGACTGATTTTCAAAGTGGCTGCACTGTTTTACATAGCCACCAGCAATGTCAAGAATTTTGATTGCTCCACATCCTCACCAACCTTTGACGCTGTCAGTCTTTTAAATTTTAGTCATTCTAGTGCTGTGTAGGGCTTTAATCTGCAATTCCCTGATGACTAGTGATGTGCTGACTACTTCGTTATGTGCTTTGTGAAGGTCCTGTTAGCCTTTTGCTCATTTCTTAAATCAGTTGTTTGTCTATTTTATTATTGAGCTGGAGGACTTGCTAATGTATTCTGGATATAAATCCTTCGTCAGACACATGTTTTACAAATATTTTCTCCATTTTCATTTTATTAATGTTTTCTTTTGATAAGCAGAAGTTTTAAATTTTGATGAAATCAATTTTTTTCCTGTTCTGTTCCGTGTCCAGTTCACTTTCTGTCTCCCCCTGCTAGAACGCAAGGGCATGCTTTATTTCATCCACCCATATATCCCAAGAGCCTAGAACAATTCCAAGCACATATAAGCTACTAGAATGAACAAATACTTCATTGTGATATAAGAAATATCTCCTATCTAAGTATTTATACACAAAATGAAAAAATGTCTGAGATACACTTCAAAATAGTCCAGGAGAGGGGCACAGTGAAGGCTGTGTGCTGATAATAATTAAAGCTGAATGACAGTTATATGGGGATTCAATATACTATTCTATCAACTTTTCTATGTGTTTGTATATGTTTGAAAATGGCTACAACAAGCTATTTTTTAAAAGCTTTTAATGCTTAGTCTAAAACAGTGTGAATTCTCTTCCTTTCAACGATGAGTCCACCACTTCCCTTCCACCATCGCTGTGGCTCTCTGCTGCACCACCTTCAGTTGGTCACGAGCAGGAGTTTCATCTTCAGAAGCATATGGACAGAACACACAAACACTGGTTTATGGAAGACCCACACACACATCTATTCAAGAGTGAATGTTCTGTTGATGACACATGACATATATTTTTGGGGACAAAAGAATGACAACTATATTAATATGCAGAAGCAAAATTTATTATCTTCTATATAATGG